CTCCATGAAACCAATAATAGGGCATTTCGTTGACATTACCAGTAGCTGTCATTGGTGATATCTTTAAAGGAATCATCTTACCTCCGACCTCTCTTATAGGAGCCGGCCTAGTCTTAAGTTCGTTTGTCATCCTGAGCTTGGTTGAACAACAACAATAGGTTCCCACCGACCACCCATTTTTTGTTCGTGCTCATCTTGATAAAACTTTAATTTGCTACACTCATATATCTGTCATCCACTGACTTACATTGCTTCTTCTTGTTCCTCCTCTTCCCCCTTTCTTTTTACTTGCTTCTGCTTCTGTTACTGCTCCAACGGAATCTTGTGATATGCTTCTGCCACAGACTTTGTAAACCAATCAACTAGAAAATCACCATCAAAACTCAGCAGTTGTATATTATGTACTTTTACTGTATGTAGCCTCAAATGAACTCAGAAGCAGGACCCAGAGACTACCACTTTCTGATTTTTGATATTTGTGGTGCTATATAATACATCTATACATATACCATAGAAAACTTTTATTTTCTTCTTCCCATTGTTACCATTTGCTGTGTGGCATGTTGTGAAGACTAATGTGTATGGTAGCATCCTCTTGGCTGAATTTCCTCACACAATACACACACAAAGTAAAAAAGTAGGTATTATATTTGGAATGGCAATAGATAATTCCAAAACAGTGGAATGGATTGACATCCCAATGCCATAATGATGCACCTGGTGGAAGGTAACAACCAGCCCTTTTTCATAGTGAATTAGTGTTGTTGAATTACCAGGTCTAGTATTGAAACAGTACATTGGGAAGGAAAACAACAAAGAGGAAAATAGCAACAAGAGAACAAGATGCCAAAAAGTGAATACCACTAACAGGAGAAAAGGAGATGTGGAGATTATTATTTTCAGCTCTTCTCATTCAAGAATCAAAATGGAGCAACTCATTACATATCAATTTGAGATATTATTGTATCTTATTAATATTACAATGAAAGTGAACATAAGCAGTAGCAAATACAAAGAAGTAGGAGAATGATCATGGTTTTTTTTAAACAAAAAAAGCTTATGTCAGTCCATAAGAAGCCTCAGGTGAGAAGTGTAGTAAATCAACTAAGAATTGGCTTAGAATCTCCATTGAACCGGCAGATATTTTTGATTACTCTCTGTGTTGGAATTCTGCCCCGCGCTTGCAAACACCTGCTCCAATCACTTGCAACCCGCACTCAATAATCCTTATTCCATTTTGTTGTCTTCCTGTTTCTTCTCATTTACTCTATCTCTCCCATTTTTTTCTTCTCCAATCCGCAGCTTCTCTGCGGACATAGTCTCTCACAACCACATGTTGACACTTGACCCCAGCGGATAAATAGCCTCAACAATTCACACCATCAACTCTTCCCTCAGCAGTCTCAACCATCAAAAATCATCAACAATAAAACTCAACTCAACTTCTCATCCTCAACTGCTTGGACACTTTCAACCGCAATCTATCCTCATCAATCACTCCACCAATCATTCCTATTCACTTTGCTCTCTGACTCCATTTCTTTTTCTCTCTTTTTTTTCTACTCTCAATCATATCCCTCATCACTCACTCTCATTGATGCTACCTTCAAATCATCTCATCATCTATTCAACCATCAACCATACTTCTGGAGCTGATACTCTCTCTTGAATTGCTCACTTGGCTTCTGCCAATTTGGTGAGAAAACCTATTGAATCTCTTTTTTATATCTTCTGAGCTGTTGATTAAACTTTCTTTTTATTTATTTTGTTTCAGTTTCTATTACTTCTTGTTGGTTGATCTAATCTACTTTAGTCTTTCTGTTCTGTCTGTCTCAAATAACAAAACTCATTGTGGTAGTTTGAACTTCATCATAATTTTTCATCATCTGTCAATTACATTTTTTCTATTATTTGTTCTGTGATTTCTAAATTCTAACACTTTGGTTGTTCAGTTCTGGTTTTAGTTTTAGTAATAAAACCTGTTTTTCATCACTCTGAATTGATGGGGATTGATAAACAGCTTTCTACTCAAGAAATACATACAAGAAAACAGCCAAGAATGAGAGAAAAGGTTTTTTTATTGTTTTCCTTGGATTATTTTATCCTAAACATAATTAACATCATTCTCCCAGCGGTGGGCCGCTACGCTACACTACGCTACAGGCCCATGTAGCGTTAGCGTAGCGGCGCCATTTTTTTTTTTTTTGTGTAGTGTTAGCACGCCGCTAGCGCGCCGCTACGGCCGCTGCGCTACGCTAACTTGTAGCGGCGCTAACACTAGCCATTTTTTGGTGTAGTTTTAGCGCCTCGCTGGTGCCGCTACGCTGCGTTACGCTACGCTACAGCGTTTTTAGCGGCAAAAAACGCCAAAAAACCGCTAAAAACTGCTGTAGCGCAGCGTAGCGGGCGGTTTTTTGCGCCCTGTGCGCGTAGCGTTAGCGCAGATGGGGAGAATTGCGCTAACGCTACGCTAAACGTTAGCGCATTGTTTTGCCCCGTGCGTGTAGCGTTAGCGCTGAAAATGAAAAAAGCGCTAACGCTACGCTACATTGTAGCGATTTTTCGCTACACTACGCTACGCTAACGCTACAGTTAGCGTAGCTGGCCCACCGTTGATTCTCCAATATATCTTCCCTTTGGGATTGTCAACCTGTGTGGAATTGGGATCACTATCTCCTTACAGCCCTCTTCATTTGATGAGGAAAAAAGATTTGTTTCTTTAGAAAAAGCTACCTTGCCATAATTTTGTTACATAAATCTTCCCATTCAAAAGAATTCAATCACACAATGTAAGCACTTCCACCATACTTGGCTGGGTCAAATTTATCCCATTTGAACTGGGGTGCGCTCAAACAATTTAAAATGGCTTTTTCTCAATAGAGATGGCCTCAGGGTGTCGGTTGCAGATACCCGCCAGGCCCAACGGATACACGCCAGGGGATTAAAATGCCCCATCCTCCTTGGAATCCTGACGGGTATCCAGGTAACTCCAGGGATACCTGTCAGAGGGACCCAGCCTTGAGACCTTGTACAAGTAAAGTCTCAAGGCCTAGAAGGGTTCCCTCTTGGCCTTGAGACTGTACTGTCTTGAGGCCAACAAGGCACAACCCAAGTGCCATGTTGACTGGAATGGTTTCATTCCAGTCAACAGGGTACATTTGCCTTGTTGGCAGGAAGGTTTTCCTTCTGGCCGGTGAGGTACATGTGCCATGTCAACTGGAAGGAAACCCTTTCAGTCAACAAGGCACTTGTACCTTGTTGACTGGGAGGAAACCCTTCCAGTCAACAAGGCACTTGTACCTTGTCAGCCAGAAGGAATAACTTCCAGTCAATTGTCAGCCACCCCCTCCAAATGCCCTTGTGCAAGTGGCAGGTATCCGAAGATACCCGCTAAGTTGGAGGGATACCTGCCAGCGGATGCAGATGGCGGTGTGGTAGTCAAAAGTGTGAAAAATTCAAAGTTTTTTATTTCTTTTTTCTTATATATATTTTCTTCATATTATCATCCAGTATTCCCTCAGAAATCACACCATACGGCTCAATAACTAGACTCTGCAGTTTAATTCACCCTTGGTCACCACGGAGGCGTCACTGGAACACACCTGGATCAACAATTACCCCATGATGGACAACATATCACAAGGATTTTACCCATCATTACATGTCAACAATCTCAATTACAACCCTCAGTACAGTACAACCCCCCATTTACATACATCTACACTCCTTACATTCCACTTCTACATATTACATAACTCCATGCAGTCTAAATTAGTGTATTTTCCTTGCATGAAAGCTGCAGGTGGTACCACCACATCCACTTGTAAACACCACAGAACCTGACCAATCAGAATCACTCTCTCAGCTGTTGGACCCACCACTTATTACTTTGTACATGTCTGACCAATCACATTTACTCATTCAACTCATGTATGTAGCTAAAACCACTCATGTAATAGCCCAGGCCAGCCAAAATCACTCATTACTGGCTGCTCTGGAGCTAAATTCCCTCACTGTTGTCTATATAAGGAGGCTCTCCTCCCAGTTGTTGTCTCCTCAGGGTATTATTCACCACTCGCAGTTTAGTACCACTCGATCAAAGATATACAACCCTTACAGAACCTTACCACACACCAATAACAACTATCCTCATTCTAACCATCACACAAACTCATTCCTGAACTTACCCTATCATTTGATTAAAACTTGCCAAGCTGAGCTTGGTGGGTCTTGTTATTTGATAGTATAGAAGGGAAGAGCTTGCACCTCCACCATTCCCTTCTCCATTCAGCAAAAAGGGTCTTACAACCACTTTTTGAATCTTACAGTGGTTTCCCTGGAAAAAGCAGCCGGATATCTGCATCTGCGCGGATATCCAGATGTGCCAGGGTCATCTATAGTTCTCAACCAATTGAATGTAAATCCAAGGTAGGTCCTTCAGGTTATGTATAAAATGGGACATCAACCCAATGTAAATTGGTTGAGTGCATCCCAATTTAAAGTGGTTGAGTGCATCCCAATGTAAATTGGTTGAGTGCATCCCAGTTTCAATGGGATACCCTCAAACTAGCCAATGATACTGACAGTGAAGAGAAAACTTATCATCTTGTCAAAGTGGTATTGAATTTCCTGAAGTCTTGTTGGTGACTTTGAAAATATTTTTTTGAACTATTCAAAGCTGCCATAAAATCAATTTTATAAAAAAAAATACCTTCAGTCTGTCTTAAAGCATCTCTAACGGTCCTGCTGATGCGGGACCTGGAGCCGACTTCAGTGGGCTGCAAGCCTTTTTTGGCCTCTAGCGGCCATTCTGAGCAAGCTGCTGATGGCTCCGGGGGTGGACCCAAGCTGCCCTCGGCTGCTACTTTTGGCAGCTTTGGCATCCCATCCTCCAAGCTGCCATAGCTACCTTTTGGTCCATCTGTCATCCCATTTCCATTTTTTTATGCACTTCTTCATATCAAACACCACATATCACCACATATCCTACACCAAATACCATGCCTCCCAAAAGGGTAGTACTTGATCCACTCCTCATGGAGATGAACCAAACCACCCCAACCGCAACTACTCGTACAATGAGAACAACTCACCCCGATCCCCATGCAACCCCCACTGGCTCAGTGCCCGCAACAACTCTTTTGATGCCAAGTCAGCTGGATCCCCATACAACTCCGGTTCCCCAACCCGCTTCTTCAAATGAAACCACCGACGAGACTGACGATGCTCCTAAGAAGAAGGCTCCAAAGTGGACCATCGATGAAGATAAGCAGCTCTGTGCTGCTTGGTTGAACACGAGCCAAGACAGTATTGTCGGAACCGGTCAGAAAGCTGGAACCTTTTGGGAACGGGTTCACCAGCTTTATACCAATCTTGTTGTTGATTAAAACAAGGAAAATAAAAGATCAAAAACAATCAAGCCTTTACCAGTCCGACTCGTCAATGCAATCGAATGTCGTTGGGGTCACATTATGAGGGTCTGCAACAAGTTTGGTGGATGTTATTCACAAGTCGAGCGTTGCATGAGGAGTGGGATGAGTCAAGATGATATTGTAAGTTTGCATTTCTACAAATTGATATTCAAATAAACATTAGTTAATATTTTGTTTCCTGTCAGCTTTCTGAGGCGAAAGAACTTTACAAATCCGAGAACAAGTCGGCATTCAATCTCAATCACTGCTGGGGCATTTTGAGAGAACATCCAAAATGGCAGGCAACACAGCAGGAGATCAATCTCAGACAGAAGAAGTCCAAGGACCCGCCAAGTAGCACACCTGCAACCAACGAGGCTTTGCCATTGAGTCCTCAAACAACCACTCAACTAGATGACGACGACGACCGTAGTGCCCTGGGTTCTGACGCGCGTCCGGAGGGCAACAAAGCGGCAAAAAGGAAGCGAGAAGAAGATGCAATCTTGCAGAAGATCATCAAGACCCAAGAAGACTTGGTCAAGATATCGAAGGAGCGATCGGCATCTGTGCAAAAGGCGTTGGAGGAGGCTGCGGAGGCAAAGAAGCAGGAGGCAGATGATCACATCATGGTGATGGATCTGTCTGGGATGGATGATGAAGCTAAGGCATACTGGCAAAAGAAAAGGCGTGCAATTTTGGATCGACCAGAGTAGAGAAGTTGTCTTTGTTCAGTTTGTTGTAGCTCACTCTGATCACTCTGGCCTCATTTAATCATGCCTTCTCGCTATTTCTTCTCACTACATGATTGCTCTTCCATCTCGCTTCAAACCCTCACTTCCTTCTCCCTACATGATTGCTCTTCCATCTCGCTTCAAACCCTCACTTCCTATATCTTTTCTTCTTGTCTTGCAATCCAAAAACACACAATGGGATGCTTTTTTGACTGAAAGCACCAAATGATAATTGAAACAAAAAAAAGTTGCAGGAGTTTGAGAGAGAGAATACAAAAATGTTGATGTAGAAGATAAACATGAGAGAACTTTGCAATTGAGAGAAGAACATTAAAAATAAAATAGATCAAAATTTAATCCTCCGATTTGTCGGTTTCATCTCGGCCTAATTGGCTCCAGAGGTGTTCAACGAGGTCTGCCTTCAAGCGGTTATGAACATGAATGTCTCAGAGCCCGTGATATCGCAAGAGAAAAGAGTCAAAGTCGGCGTTAGCTGAGTTATCACGTCCGATTGTGGCTTGTGTGCGAGCATTTTTATCATAGTCAAAATCTTCTTCAAAATCCGATCCAGCTTCATCCTCCACCGTCATGTTATGGAGAATGATTAATGTCTTCATAATTATACATAGGTCAGGGTGCTTCCATAAACGGCCGGGGTAGCAAATAATAGCATAGCGTGCTTGTAACACGCCAAACATGCGTTGTGGAACTTTTCAAGCTAAAGAAAAGAGCTTAGAGGGGAAAAGAACAACTACACAGGGGAAAATGTGAGTTGAAGACTTGGATGCTGATGAAGCTGCCCTCTTGTCAAGGCTTGGGAGAGAGTTACACTAAGAATTAAAGAAAAGGTGTGGCTATTTCTGTGGGTAATCTTAGTATGAGATTTATTACTGATGTCTTGTACAAGTCACCTGCTGAGAGATTGAGGATGTGGGGGATTCTGGTAAGGATGAGGCTCTGGGGGGTAATGGTTTCTGGGTTCAATTTCTTATCTTCTGGGGGAAAATCAATAATAATTACTTCTGGTAACTACTAGTAAGTGATGTCTGCTAAGTAATTATCTGTTTACTTCTCTAATGCAAGCATGGGGAACAAAGTAAGTGGGAAAGGGTATTCTCTATATACATGTGGGTGGTTCTGATCAGGTACTAGTGGTAAGATATCAGCTGATGTAAGAAGATGGTATGAAATAAGTTGTATCTGAAAGACAATTGGTTATGAAATAAATGTGGCTGAAAAATGTGTAGTGTGAAATAAACATGTTGAAAAGGAGAAAATATGAAGTAACTTCGGTTTGTGATAAAAATAATATGTAGTGCAAAAAGAAATGGGATAATAAAAGACTGAAATAAATATTCTGAGGTGAGATGAGAAATCTGTGTGGTGAAATATATATGTAGGTGATATAAGCAATGAGTAATGAGTTGAAATGAGATGTATGATGGGAATGTAGGTGATATAAGCCATGTGTATTGAGTTTGAAATGGAATGTAAGAATGAAATACTTGTAGTATGAAATAAATTTAGAATAAAATAAATGTAGAATGAAGTAATTGATGTATGAAAAGAAGTGGATGATGAGTGAGCTGAGATGACAATATCTGGATGAGAAATCAGATGTATGGGTTGAAACAGTATATGTAGTCTGAATAAGTGATATCTGAGATGAAATAAATAACATTTACTGAAAGATTATTATCATAGAAAGAAGGTACTGAGGGAAGACTAATTTGTATCTTGAGATGTGTGATATGTAGTATGTTGTAGCTATGTAGTACTATATATTATGTAACCAAACTATGTGTAAAAATAATATTTTGTAACCTTCTGAACTGGATACAAGATAATGGATTATGTAGCATATGCATATCTGGTTGTAATAACGTGAAAACTACTGTAAATAGCTATTTTGTACTATATATGACCTTGATTGGTCTCACCACAGTGTTCGAAATCTTTGCGATACACTTCCTGCATTTTTGCATAGTGTTTGTTTTTTTACCTTGTGGATTCAAAATCGATTGAATGAGGGAAGCATATTTGGGATAAATACTATCGGTGAGATAGTAGCCGAGGTTGTAGCGGTTGCCGTTAACGGAATATTCAAACAATGGGTTAACTCCATCTTGGCATTGCTGAAAAACGGGTGATCAATTGAGGACGTTGATATTGTTTAAAGTCCCAGGCAGGCCGAAAAACGCATGCCAGATCCACAGGTCGTGAGTCGCAACCGCTTCGAGTATTACTGTTGGCTCCTTTTCCTTGCCGCTGTACTGACCGTGGTCTGCAACGGGGCAATTCTTCCAACCCCAATGCATACAGTCCAGAGAGCCCATCATGCCTGGGAACCCTCGCTTTTCAGAGACCGCAAGAATTTTAGCAAGGTCGTTTGCATTTGGACTTCGCAAGTATTCCTTGGCGTAGATTTTGACCAAAGCCGAGCAGAAATGTTTGAGACTTTCCAGCGCAGTACTTTCACCTGTGTTGGAAGAGAAGAAGTATGAGTGAAAAGCGAGTGAAATATATTTGAAAACAAATAAAATACTGGCTGATTCTCAGGTATTCATCAATGGAATCAGCGCTTCAGCCATAAGCCAACAATCTAAACGCTGCTGTGACCTTCTGTAATGGTGAAAACCCCAAACGACCGGCGGCATCCCTTTTTTGAATAAAATAGTCATCCTCCTGTGAAACAGCCTCGATGATTTTAAGATAAAGTGTTCGTTGCATCCTGAAGCGTCGACAAAACAAGTAGTCTGGGTAGGTCGGGTTTTCCAAAAAATAGTTGTGGTAGAGCATCTGATCACCTTGAAGACGGTTTCAATATATTTCTCTTTGGCCAACTGTTGATCCGCCATGCTTCGGTTTTGCATTCATTCTTTTCACGACTAGTGCAATAGAAGTTGACAGGGAAGCTAGGATCTCGTTGTCGTCCTCGATCAATTCCATGATTTTGATAGGATCCATTGCGAATACAAAGGGGCGAGCTGTGGAATGGTTGGGTGGTCGTGCTTGAAGGAAGGGACGTCACGATCAATCCACCCCTGACCACATCCACAGTTAATATTTTGGAATGTTGTGACATGTGGGTGACATCTTGGGACATCTACTCCCGGGCTGCTGAAGTCGAGCTGATCCACCCCCAGACCGTTAGAGATGCTCTTAGGATTGGAAGGATTACAATTTTTTCTAACTTTGTCCTGTAAGCCTGGGTCTCTAAAGTGAAAGCAGGAAACAAGGTTTGGGGTCTAATTCTAGATGTATTTCAAGAGGATAAAGGAATACAACTAGAATAAGAGAAAATTGGCTGGCTCTAAGGCTCACATGTCCCCTCATTACCATTTTTGTTGAAATTGAGGCTAAAAAGCCAAGAGAAATAATATCTTTTATGATTTCGCTGAGAGGGCTCAAGTGCTCACAGACAGACTGAGGGAAGGGCTAAAGTTCTCCCTTCAGGAACGGTCAAAAAAATAATAAAAAACCAATAGTTTTTCTTTTATTCCTTAGTATCAAGTGAAATAAATAGTTTAGATACAATAATGCATGATTTGTGGGAGCTGAGAATAATGCATAATGAATAAACTAACAAATCAGTTTTAAGGAATTAAATGAGTGGCATCTGCAAAAAAAGAGAGAACGAGTGAAAATTCAACAATTTTTAAGTCTCATTAGCTCTTTGAATAAACCCATGATAAATTCTGCCAAATATTTACCCTCCCTTGATTGTATATCATATTCCTTGAACTTGACCTTTTTTTTTTTTTGGGGGGGGGGGGGGGGAGGGGGTTGATTGTATAGGAACAGAAAACATTTTCACTTTTTAATCAACTTCTTGTTAATGATGATACAATATCTGCCACTCCTTTTCAAGGCCACTCCTTTTCAAGGGAATAGTATTGATGATTTTTTCAAGAATACAGCTTGGAAATTCATCCCAAGCCTTGTGGAGTGCCACATGCATTTCTGGGACCAATTGACACTGATTGTCCTGGACTTTCCTCTTGAGGACAAGCTAAATATTCTCAATTTTATCCAGGTTGGTAGCTTGATCAGGCTAGTCAATTTTTTTTTGATTGATGAGTCCATCAGAAGTTTGCAGCTGGAAATCACAGTGCGGGCAGTGGTGTTTTATTGAATCATTTTGATTTGGTGATCTAGGTGAAAATCCTCAAGGGAGGGTATCAGCTTCACTTTGGGGATTCTTTTCATCAATTCATTTGATTTATGTTCATGGTAGTTATGACTGTGAGAGGGGCCCTGGATTTGCTGAAGAAGTCTTGCAGAACACTGTTGAGGTCCTGCCTCTCCTGAAGGTAGGAACCAGATTTTTTGAATAGTATTTTACATTATTCTTCCAACAAACAAGTACACCATGCTTTGCTTGTTTTCCAATCCCAAACAATACTTTTTCTGTTCATAATATCTTCTTCCAGTTGTTTGGGGTCCAAACCTTTTTGCATTTGACAATATGCAGCCAACATTTCTGGTGTTTCTTACCAAGGAATGGTTTATTGACCACAAATTATTTATTGAAAACTAGTTGAGAAGATTAAAAACAGGTGGTTTTAGTTCAGATCAGAGTGATAACAATTTGCTTGACTTTGGCCATCTTTATCAAATGTTTCTCATCAAGGGCAGTCTCCAGCTGGCTAAAATTTTATTAATTGGTTACACATGGCTTTTGGCTCCTAGATGCTGTCACAACCATCCAGAACTCTGTGGGCAAAGTGATCATCACATATATTGTGGTGAATACTATCAAATACATGCTTTTATTGAAGTTAGTTTCATTCTGAAATCTATCATCCCAACAATCTTATATTTCTGCTTTGTCCAAGGGTAAGGATTGAAATCATTATTTCAAATAATCTAAAAAAAGTAAAGATGACCATTGGTACCCAGCACCTGTTTGCCTGGTAGCGCTGTGGTAAGACCAATCAAAACTTGTTACATCTTTCTACCACCTTTCTGGACCATTTTTA